GTTTTTTTTTCATTTTATGATAAATATAAAGGAGTTAGGCAGATTACAACACTACAGTTAAATCCTGTCTAATATCAGTAACACTTATAATTTTTGGCATTTTAATATATCATCTTCTGAAGAATTTCATAAATTTCTTTGAAAACAATTCAATTGATTGGACTAAGCTATGGTTTTGTGAAGAAAAAGACTAATGAAACATTATCCCTGGATTCAAAGGGCTTCATTTGTAGTGAGGAAAATAATGTAAATATAATATTAGAAAATATTCTACTAAATAAGGAGAAGATAATGAGTATAATAAATACAAGGAAATTGCAGTTTAGAGAAAGCAACATCTGAGTCTTTAAGACAAAATTTTATATAGATGTGCTGTAAGGGAAGAGTAGAAGATTCCACGGTAAATATAGGAGGCAAAGAAGAAGAGGGCAATTCATATTCTAGACTCAGGAAAGAGCTGGCTTGAATGCAGAAAAATACTAGAAAGGATACATGTATTGGAAATAAAAGAGCTCAAGAAACTTCATCCCTAAATATGACTCCTTGGTATAAAGATTATTTTGAATTAAAGGCCCTTAGAGATCAACAGGGCCTTGGAAAGGGCTTTCCCTCTATCTGCATAACTAGAGGGACCCCTCAAAAGAACAATGGACTTCCCTTCCCTGTTATATCACTGTATTGCAGGAAAGAAAATCAAGAATGCAACCAGACCTGGCTCAAATTATTTTAAATATAATGTCTGTCTGTCAAGGTTAATTTAATTTGCAAAGAGAATCATTTACAAGTCAAGCTGTTTCCTCCGTCCATTCATCCTCCCTAGCAACCATTTATTGCCCCTATACAGAATTACCTATATTCCTCATCTCCCACTCCCCTCTAAAAGGAGTGTATAAAAATATCTGGATCTCACTGAGATACTGGGTAATCACTCTGTGTTTCTCTCCACGTGCACAGTAAATAAACCTCTTTCACCTCTTTCTCTTATTAATTTGCCTTAATTGTGAGTTAATCTCTCAGCGAACTTTTCGGGGAAAGGAAGTATCCCCTCTCCCCCACAGAAACTAACAGGATATATGTTATTAGATAATTGGGAAATTTGAATGAGGCTCAGTAGATGTGGTCTTGGTGCCAGGCAACTGGGAGGTTGTTTCTTAAAGCATGTTGTATGAAAAATATTAATCATTATTTGCTCAATTAAGCAATGCCCTGTGTAGCTCCTT